TTTAATTTAGCTGTGATAATGCTCCACAGTGGGCATCCATCTCAAGCATTATTGACTGTTCTTTTCCAGCTTCATATCCATTATTTTCATCTTCTTGACATTGTATGTTACATTATTGCTTGCTCAATAACCAAAACTGGTTAACATACAACATGCAATGCAACAGCGACGATCTTCAACTGTTAAAGAGCATGTCCTTCACGCTGTAAACACTTAGGTAAAGGACTCAGCACAGTATCTAGGGAAAGAAATCTCCAGTTACTTATTTCTAAATCTCTTGTAGTTCAAATAACACACACTGCTCTGGGTAACTACACTGCCAGTGATTAGAATAGGAGGTATGGTGGGTTGCTGTGACCTTTGTGGTATTTGGAGACAGTGAGAAAAGTTACTGGTAAGACACAGTGAACATACTCAGGCTCGGAGAGCTCGCTGTCAGAAACGGCAGGCACCACGCTGAGTGGAGGGAACAGTGCAGGCCTCACCGCGGTTCGACCCCTCTGGATCACCTCCATCACGTACCTGAGTGACCGAACACCCCCAGCAGTTAGAAACAAACTGACCCTGAGGAGAACACACGCTGCAGAACAAAACTATTTCATTCTGACAAAAAGACTGAGAGGGCAGATCTGACTTCTCCCAAGTTGTATAGATTCTGTTGAAAAATTTTTATTAACTGGACATGTTACTATGGTAATGGGACATGTCAGCTTTCTTACCTTTGCTTGGGCTGTAGAGTTCCAGATTTGATCTTCTCCTCTTCAAGCCGCCGGCAAACCTCCTCCAGCTGGATGAGGGGGCTGGGAGCTGGGTTGGGGGGCATGGTGGGATCCTGGATGAAAGGGTGTGATGGCTGCACGTTGTTCCGCAGCTGGGCGCCACCGCACGGGTACACCGAGCCTGGTCTCTCCACAGAGCTCAGACGGGATCCCTCGTGGGCTGTGGTCCTCTTGGAGCCAGTGGTGCTCCTAAAACATTTATAACACAAAACATACACATAATTGACTTTCTTACGCAAAAATAGAAAAAAAACAAAACAGACAAAACTGCCAAGGTAACACAACCACACCAAGCAAAGGTGGAGAAAAAACGTCTTGCTATCATAAACTTAATTGACTTCACTGACCCGTACGGGCTTCTCTTCTGCTGAACCATTTCTTTCTGTCCCTCCATCAGCCACAAAAGGATCTTCTGGTTTTTCTCCAACTCTTCTCCAGATCCCACCATGTCATAAGGTCGCACATCCTCACCTTTCCTGTACACTTTTTTACACTGTGTGCCACCTTTGCTACTGTACAATGGAAGAAAACGACTGATAAGAGAAAAAGAACAAAATGCATTTTCTGTGAATTAAAGCCATTACAGTAACACAAACCCTGTATGTTCCATGGAGCTGGATCCCATGCCATCAGCGTAGCTGCGAGACCTTGATCCATAATGACTCGTCTCCACTCCCCAGGGAAAGGTGCCGTGCACACGCATGGCTCCCTCCGCCTCTACCTGCTCTTTGGGCTTTCCGATGCCTGTGTGGTTGATGTGATGCATGTGTTTGTGGTGGTACAGGTGGCTGCTCTCTCCCTTCAGGCCATGCCTGGATGGGTGTTTGCCCTGGCCTGAGGACAGCGGCATTCCAAGTCCAATCCCTTTGACCCCTGGGAAGCTGTCGGGTGAGCGTGACTTGGGTGAGTGGCGACCTGCCCCAGGTGACTGGCAGCCAGGGGTTTTCATGACCCTCTGGACGTGGTCATCCAGGATACTCTCTGGGTTCTCTTCATGAGCGTCTCTCAGAAAAGCACCATTGTAGGTGACGTCAGTGTAGCGGGAGTTGTGATTCTGCGGGAAGGCACCAGGGAGGAACCTGTGACCAGCTAATGTTGTGGCTGTGGGCAGGATTTCATCACCGTCCTCTTCCTTTAGTAAAGAAACACACAAACACAAAGCATCTTTTAGAGAAAAAATATTAAATCTAAAATACAAATCTGGAAAAACAAAACTAATTTATGGGGAAAGGGAATTAATAAATAACTGAGGCATATATATATGTTCCCTACCACATAAAACCAAGTCATATAAAATTAATTTGACAATTTATTTCCTGACATATTTGACAGGACTTAAGATTTTTTCATAAGAATGAAGATTGTACTCATTTCGACCAGCAGATGGCAAATTTTTACCACATGCTAAAATGAGTCCTCCCCTTACTGCAGATTTTTAGAGACAAATGGAAATACAACCGTACCAGTAAGATCCAGGGTATTACACATACACAGTACATATGTGTCATTATAATGAACCAATACAGCCACAGCTCTAACAGAGTCAGTCTTCTTCAAGGGGCAAGGTGCTGCAGGCTCGATTCTGAGGAGGTTTTGTTAAGTAGGCACTGGAGGAGGTGGAGGACATGCAGTGATGAAATACAACACAGTGGTCGATGGAGGAAATCAGTCATTTAAAACTGGGCAAACTGAGATCCTTAACTGACTCAGAGACCTCAAACCACAAGTAATTTCAAATCAAATTTTTCATTCTAACCTAAACATGTACTTATACAAAATGTATTTTATTTAAAACATGAAATAAGGAAAACAATATGTGAAATCTATATTCTCCATCACAATGTGCAGCGTTTCTAATGCAGCTGTACGATGAGCACCATACGGCAGAGCTTTCATCTGTGCTGCGTCCTGTGTAAAGTTAGAAACACTTTGGCAGAGGGAGAAAGGAGGGGAGGGAACAAAGAGGTATAGTGGACAGACAACAGTAGGCAAGGGTTTTACTTTCATTTTTTAGCCATCCCGTTCCCACACTTTTCATGTCAGTTATGTTAATAATTAAATAAACCTTTGTTTGTGAACACGCCAAAACAACGGAGTTTGTTATTGCCCCGTGCTCGCCATCTATTCGCTATAACCACATGAAAGACAGCACAAAGGGATTCTCAGCCTCTTCCCACAAAGTCTGAACTTCCCTCTGCCCGCTGCTTTCTTAAATTCAGCGATGCTTTAAAAGACGTCATATGCAGCCAAATATTTGTTGGCATGCTATCTCAATATCTGATGTGGCTCTGCACCAAGATCAAGAAATCTGTGTTAGCTGAGCCTACTGGAAGCAACTTATTCAAACATGACCTCTTCATTTGAGCACATTTTTACACTGGCTCCCTCTGTTTCCTTCTGAAAATGAAAATCCTTGACAAAAAACCGCAGATACAGTATTTGAGGCTCCACATCAGGTGGTTCCAGGGGATTTACTGACAAAAGTCCGGCTCATTAATACAATACCGCTCTGTAATCTGGTTAAAACCAGACAAGCTTTCAGCCACTGGTATACTCATATGAATAGCATGACACTTCTCGTGTATGTGAATCATCCAGTGCATAGCTGGACTACAGGGCCCATTGTGCCTCTTGATTGAATTGAAGGAGACTTTTGGGCCTTGGAGGAGAATTGCACATGACTCTGTGCCATTCTAGTTAAATCTGATTTGATGCCGCAGATACTCTTCATGCATCATGATAGTATAAAACATCTGGCAGTATGGTTAAGAAGCTGAGCCCTGTCCATATCCTCTTCCAAATGCGCAGAGTGTCACTTGATGAAGGCAGTCATTTCATGCTCGCCGCCTCCAGGTTTAATAAGGCGAACCTCGAACTGTGTGATGGCAGCTTCTCTTCTTTCAGGGCCAAAACCACATAAATTGTCTGCCTGGAGACTTAATACTTGGCTTGGTGTACTGAGGGAGATTTCGTTTGTGCTCACATCGACCGTTTCATCGCCGTTCAAGTGACATCAAACAGGCGGCACACTGTTCCAAGCTTACAAGTGGGCGATTGTGCAGGTGCTCCATCTGATTGATCGACAAAGCCAGATCGCTGACAGGCCAAGGACAGAATTCTCCAAATGATTCATAATGTGTTTTTATTCCCCATTCAAATGGCTGGCCTCATTAATTTCATTAAGGCCAGACGGATTTAAGTCTCCTTTGTTACTGAAAACTTAAAGCCCAGCGGCCAGGCACACATCTCGCTTTCTGGCTTAGAAATGGGCTTTGATGATTCCTCCTGATACTCAAACAACGGTCTGCTTTTCCACTGTCTATGGTCACAATCTATTGAATTATTCTTTTATTAAAAGAAAATCCATTTTGTTATTAAAGTTTCGAATGAGTGCTCTGATTTTAACATTTGAAGAGTGAGGATTTAGATCTGTGTAACAGCTCTAACCAGAAGAGTATTTCAGATGTGAGAAAATCAAACTAAACTAAAAAATAAAAACTGTTTATTTAATCAATTAGCCGTTAAATACATTTATATATGTACATTTTATTTTCCTACCTGGCCACTTAAAGATTATTTTTATTATTATTATTGTACTTAGCCATGGGGGGCATGGGTAATATTCAAATCCTAACAGATGAGAAAATCTGAGAAAAATATTACCCCCAAATTTTGGAAATGTATGTATTAAATATTGGACATTTCCAGAAAAAATAAAGGAAACCTTTAGTAAAATTACTGAAAACTAGCAATTAAAATAAAAGTAATTACTAGAATATTAATGTAAAAATATCAATAATTTCACTGATATTTACAGAACAATTCCTTGAAAAAACCTGGAAAGTTCAACCCAAAAACTCTCATGTTTCCTCTTGTTCCCTGAACTTTTTTGATTTCATTATGTAGGAGGTGATTTCATTATTCGACACAATAAGTGAAACTATAGCTCTGGTTGTGCTTTAAACAGTCGACATCGGTCTAGAAAATACAGCAAACGTACCAATCGAACTCTCTTCAGTCGCTCCTCAAGTTTCTCTTGAGCCTCTCTCTCCCTCAGCACTCCCTCCAGTCTGCTGATCAGCTCTGCAGCAAAACGTTCTGGCTCCACATGAATGTCCTTTGGAATCCGGTTTGGGCGCTGAGGGAAAAAGTGTCATGAGAAGTCAGTGTTTGCCACCACTGCATCACTGTCGTCACCTGACAGCACCCTGACTCTTTACATCCTGACATCAGCTGTTATATTCATAATAATTCTGTAAACAAACAATGAAGGAAAATAAATGAAGCATGATTTTAAATGACACACTGTCTCATTACTAAGTGTGTGTGACATTTATTTCCTCTCCTGCTGCAGTCGTGACAATTCAAAGCTGTAGACGCCTGATTTAGAATCAGTTTATGATTTTTTTTTTTACCAAATTGACATTAAAGTAGACGACCTAAAAGAACCCGTCAGTCTTAGTGAAGTGAAGTCATGATTAATTTGTTTGGCCAGGGAAACTTAAAAGTTATGCTTAGGGAATTTGTACTCTACTACACAGTCAATCCGTGCATCCTAATAGGATGCTACGTGTGGAGTTTAATTTGACTCTTTATTCCGCTGCCTAATTAGGGACGGGGTTTTCCTACCAAGAGACAGCCTCAGCTGCACAGGGAGGCATCAGGCTGTCACAGGGGAGGATTCATGTCTGCTAGGCATCAGCACACACAGCTTAGGAAAGCATCATGCTGCATTTAGACAGCCTTCTCTTTCACCATCAGCTATTCTTACACTCCATCACAGGCCCTGCGACACAGCAGAGCTTAAATATGCACATCTCCAGAAAAGCAGAAAGAAATAAGGCAGAAACCGACAGTTAAAGAGAGAGAGAGAGAGAGAGAGAGAGAGAGAGAGAGAGAGAGAGAGAGAGAGGTGTGGAGGCAGTAAGTGAGAAGGGAGGGTAATAACCCATGAATAACTCACTGGAATATGAGGTAGTGGCACTCGCCCATTTGCTTTGGCACTTTCGTGCATCTCCCGGCGATGCTGTTTGCGGTATCTGTAGGGTGGAACCCCATCTCTAGAATTAACAACAAAGACATTTTCATAAAACCTCATGAATAAACAACACAGACAGCTTTGAAGCTCAAAGCTTTTCACTGCTTTTTTCCCCCTAAAATGAACACCTTGATCAATCAGTACAGCAGGACAGGTATTCTCACAGGCTTATTGTGTCCATGCTACACCACAAGTGGTCTGGCAGATTACAGTAACATGTTAACACATCCGTGAGTCCATAATTCCATGTGGTATTGGCCACGCTGGGTTTTACACTCCTCCTGTGCTGGAAGCTCTGGACCAATTAGCTGATAACAGCCTCTAATCCATTCAGCTTCAAACACATTTTTGTCCAGTTGTGCAAAGCTTTGAAGTTTCTTTGGCTTAATTCCCTGGTGCCATCTCTGCACCTAGAAAACATTCATTTTTTTTATTTAAAATCTTCTCTCACTAGCACATGCCTGGTTTCATGCCCGGCAACTAAAAAACAAGTCCTGCTTCAAGTGAGCCCATATGGTAAAAATGTGTTCGTTTGTACAAAAATAAAGTTGCCCCTGAAAGAATAAAGAAATAAAACAAACATTTGCTTTGTTCACTGCAAATTAAGAACTACAAGTTTAAAGAATCACATTTAAAGTTTGTCGTCATGTTTGCAGAAGAGGTCAGTAGGTTAGGATTTCCACTTACATACATTCAATCAGATATGGCTTAATATCTACTAAGAGAGTTCTTTTAAGAATCCTAATTAGTATTAGAGATCAATTCTAACAGCTTTTACTGGTCTGGCTAATGAGCAAATGGACTTTAGTTGCTGCTCCTGTTGTTTGAGCACAGGGGAACTGGGCAAGAATTGAAGCCAATTAAACCTTTACTTCTTTCTTCTAGCAAAGCAAACTTACATGACATGCCTTCCGTTTAAATAACAACTGGGAATACTTGGCTTAGTGTAGGTTCTGCCTTCCATGTAGATTATTTGCAAAGTTGCAGCCTGTTTAGCCATTATCACAACTTAATATGAGAAAAGTGTGTGAGATGAGAAAAATACATACACACTGCTGTCGGTAAGGGAAATCGTGTCCGCATCACTGGACATACTCTGCTGCTCACTGTCATTGGCGCTGGTGGCAGGGGCCAGGGCGTAACCTGTGTTGATGTAGTACGGGTTGATGGGTTCCCGACATGGAGAGTGCCTGGAAAAATTAAGAAATACAGGAAATGCTGAGAAAACAAACTAATTTGACAAAATAGACCACAATATGATAGGGCAGTGTTTTGTCATGATTTCAGAACAAACAAGTCTTCTAGTCTCCGTCGATTCGGTTGGAGGACTATGAGAAAACTGTTATGTACAGTTACCTTCAAAATTTTTATAATAATATGATAAATCTGTTTACATGACATCAAAAAAATGTCCTTCATGCCCATGTGACTTTTTTAAATGTCATGCTTTGTTTAGTCAACAGCCCAAAACTACAAATGTATTCCATTAACTCTCAATCATGCAAAGAAAATCATGCAATCCTCTAATTCAAGGGCTGGAACTGACAAATGATTTTTGGTAGTTTAGCTGAAGAAATAATGATTGTTAGATTGATATGTCTAATAGCTCCAATTTAAAGCCATGGAATTACACAATAGGCCTGTGCAATATGACAATATGTGACAACAGAAGAACATCTACTGTTGCCTTCACCAAGGAGGTTTGATTTTTGCCCAGTAGTTCTAGTATGTTCGTGAGCAGGATTAAACAAAAACAACTGAATGAATGTTTTTGAGACATTGGCCAAGAAAAAACCATGCTAATTTTGGTGCAGATCTGGACAAAGTGCTGTAACCAGGGATGTTTCTTCATAAATATAGTGAGAATTTTTGGCGTGTTCACTAATATCCCAGGACATAAATAATGGATCCAAAATAAATCCTTATCCAGCAGATCTAAATGTTGTTTCATTAGGAGATAGTTTCATATTATTTTCTTGTTTATTCCTTCTGTCACAAATCATCCTTTATGACAATAGATTTCATAATTTGGAAGGTGACTTGTTTTCTTCCATTAAGCTCAGATAAAGGCAAGAAATGTGCATTAAGGTGCCAAAAACAAACGTGAAGGAGAGTGAACATTACACAGAATGCGGTAATTCAAACAGGACAGGGACTACTTCTTTCCAACGAACATACAGTAGTTTGGGTATGAAAAGTCTAACACAAACCCAACAGAGTCGATTAACTTACTAACTTAATTTACCACCTACACTAGATTCCCCTCAAACAAACTAATCTGAGCCAGTTGAGTGCTAGAAACCAATCCCAAACATTGTGAGAGACTTTTGCCCGCAGCACACCATATGGCAATGATGACAATGGAAGATGGAGGGAGATGAGAGCTGCTGTTCATCCATACAGTATCCACATGGACCCAGCTTACACAGTTGAACAGAATTAATGAGTCATTTTATATCATGCAGCACTGCAACCCGACCTGGTATATATGTGTGCATAGTTTAGTCTTTTTGAACAATGGTAAGAATATGTGCCTACATATGTCCACGGCCCTAACACCTCCCTTTCTTGCATCTGGTCAACTTCTCTGCGTCTGCCGTATCCAATGAAGCATCGGCTAACAGCAGCTTTATAAACACAATACACAATATATAAAAACAGATATTGGAAAATGGAGTATACTGGACTATACAGCCTCATCCTGCAGCCCATCTACAGAATAATATGGGAGCATCACACAATTTACATTCTACATTCGTTGACTCTGCTGAACACATTTCTTACAGGGCCTTGTACACATGAATTATAGATGTTAGGCATCATCTTTTTTTTTTTTTATTATTCAAATTGGAATTCCCTGAAGCATTTATCCCAAGCCTTCTCCCTGTTTGGAATGCAGAAGCCGAGTTCAACATGAAACCTTTGTGACCAAGTGATTTTCATGAGCATCTATGTTCAGAAACACTGGATAATTCCAGTGGAGGTTTGGTGAAGGGTTGGGACAATAAAAAAAATGCAGTTGATGAAAAATTATTTCTTTAGTGTTTGAATACTGGAGCAAAACTGTCCTGCAACACTGCTCACAGTTCCCCAACAATTAATGAGAACACTGGCTGCTCAACAACAGTAGTGCAGTTTCACTGAGATCAACATCATTGTTCTGTTTCATTTATCCCTTTCTTTCTTGCATTATATCACAAAGATTATATCATTATATCACAAAAAAAACATGAATACAA